AGTAAGAGGAAGATAGGCTAAGACTGGGGTGAGAACCTTCGACCTTGAGACCACACGTAGCCCTGTAGGTCCTCAAATGCTGCCATAATAAGTCAAAGGCTCTACTTGAGGACCGAGAGCTCCCCAACCCTGAATTAAGATGCTTCTTCTTCTTCTTCAAAAAAAAAAAGCAATTGTGGACCAAAGGGTACCCAAAGGGACCAAAGATATATGTAGTAAATGTAAATATGATTATTAATTATTTTGAATTATAAATTACTTATGATTATTATTCTAAAAATTCTAAGGGAGTCTCTATTTTGAATGAACTCTATATATAGTCTTTCCCCCAGTTTGCAGTAATGGGTTGAACACTGGAATTGGAATCAGATTACCTGGTTTTGAGTGCCATCTCTAGCATTTACTAGCCAATAAAGGCTTTAGACAGATCATTTAGTTTCTCTGAGCCTTAGTTTTTTCCCATCTAAAAAATGAGGAAATTATTATAACACTTGCATTATTCACATTGTTACTTTGGGGGGGGATGGGAAAGCTTTGAAAATTGTAAAGGTCTTTATAAATGAGATACTCCATTTTCAAAAGATTCTTGGTCAAGATAAGCACAGCAAGATCACAGTCTCTTTAAACCTTAGTGGATGGTGCTTCATAAGTTGCTGTGGCCAACCTTTCTATGATCTTATCCAAATTTGGAAAGACCTACATTCCTATATGATAGACAAATAGTCCCTGTACTTGAAGACTTTTCCACTTGGTAGACTGCTGTGCTGGAACAACCTTTTGGAGTCCCACTGTCTTACCTACACTATAATAAAGCATTGGAGTAGGATTGTAGGGTAGCTAAGTGGTACAGTGGATAGAGTGCATGGCCTGGAGCTGGGAAAGCCTGAATTTAAACCTGGCCTCAGACACTTACTAACTGTGTAACCCTGAGTGAATCACTTAACCCTGTTTGCTTCAGTTTCCTCATCCTTCTTCTAGAAGGAAATGGGAAATCACTCCAGCATATTTGGTAAGAAAACCCCAAATGGGGTCATAAAGAGTTGGGCAGGACTGAACAAAAATAAAAATTATGGTCTCAAGCCTTCCTAGTCTTATCCCAAATACAATCTTAAAACAGGCAGTTGTCTTGCAAATCAGCTGATGGATCACAATGCCCTGAATTATTATTACCTCAATCCCTGCCCTCAAACAGGTCCCTTCAGTACGTTTATTTGAGGGATAATTCTCTCAAGTTCTCAATACAGTGTCTTTGCTCAGCCTTTTACATGAGATACTGTTTCTTCATAAGTTATCTGTTTTCCACATACAGATTTATTCTGCCCTTTTCAGCAAACAAACACTTCACCTAAGAAAGGGACTATATTTTAAATACACAATAATTCAACCTCATAAATAGAAAGAATGACTATGGGGGGGCGGGGAAGAACTGTAGACTATAATGACAACCACAACTGGCCCAGGAGAAGATTTCAGGAAATGTACTTCTCTCCCTTCTTTATAGAGGTGGGACCTACAGGTGTGGAATGCATATGCTGCAAACATGGTTGCTATATTACTTGGTTTTAATGAACTGCTTTTTACCTCGTTTTTATTCTTTGTTATTTAGGGTGGCTTGCTTGGTAGGGGAGGGGACGACATATCTTTGTAAATAAAGGTCTTGCAAAAACAAAAGATTTCAAATATAAAATGTAAATATCTAAGGTAAAACAGAAAGGAACATTTTTCTAACACATCTATCACACTGATTCTTAAAGTGGAAAATTGACTATATCTGGATTATGTTGGGGCAAGCAAAATTAAGAGATAAATAGATAGATAAAACAGATAAGTAAATAAGTACATGCATAAACACATACACTTAACATTTGAAAGCTCTTCAGATCTCAGTTCAAATCTTGGCTCTGCAAACCACCCATTTACCTTTTCTGGGTTACTGTACCCTCATCTATAAAGTAAGGAAGTTAAACCACATGAACTCTGAGGTGCCTGCCAGTTCTAGCCCTAACTCTGTGATCTCATTTGAGTCCCTTTTTCAGTCCCTCTCTCACACTGCAAATCCCTGAGTGCAGAGATTGTTGTTTTTCATCATTGTATCTCCCAGAGTTATCAATGTACCTTATAAAGAGCTACTGCTGTTCAATCTTTTCAGACTCTGTGACCCTATTTGGGGTTTTCTTGGCAAAGATACTGGAGTGATTTGCCATTTCCTTCTCCAGCTCATTTTACAGATGAGGAAACTGAAGCAAACAGGGTCAAGTGACTTGTCCAGGGTCACATAGCTAATACGTCTGAGGCCAGAGTTGAACTCATGAAGATGAGCTTTCCTGATTCTTAGCCCAGTGCTCTATCCATTGTGCCACCTAGTTGCCCTTTTTAAATAGCTGGTGCTTAATAAACATAGTGACTTTCCCCTCCTTGGACCTCATGCAACACTGATTCATGTCTTTCTAATACCCTTCTGTATATCCTTTGTGTATCAAGGTTATGTGTGTATATATCTTATTCAAACAAGATTGTAGGTCCATGAGGTCAGATATTATATTATGTTTTTCTTTTTTAAACCTTTTACCTTGCCCATTGTTAGTATACCATTCAATGTAGAGTAGGCACTAAATAAATATTTGTTGAGTTGAACCATTATACTAATGTTGGTTTATTAATAACAACACTGCTTACTCCCAATTAATTTGTTTACAATCATCTCTGTGACAGAGATAGCTTGGTAAAGTGGGTAAATGGAGTCTGGAGAGATTTAGATTCAAATCATAGGTGGAGCAAATGGCAAGTCATTTAAATACACTGAGCCTCAGTTTCCTCATCTGTAAAATGGTGATTGTCATGGAAGTAGTACCCTTATCCACAAAATCACACTCACTGGTGCACTAAACTAATTGTTTTTAGTTATATCTTGTGCCAAATAGTGGGCAGCTTAAGTAGTGGAAAGAATGATAACCTGGGTATCAGTGAGGTTACAGTCTTAGATCTGCTATGTTACTTTGTGTCCTTAGGCAAATAACTTAACTTCTCTGATCCTTCATTTCTTCACTTATAAAAATGAGGATTGATTGTAGCTCTAGTTGATTTATATTAGCTATGTCTTTCTTTGGAAAAAAATGATGGTTTTTACTGTTATATTACATTTATTTAAAAAATGTATCTCCTTCTCTCTGTCCAGTGAACCATTCATATAATAAAAAAAAAATTTCAAAAAAGAAAAGAGGGGGAAAAAAGTATTTAAGTAAAAACAACCAACAAATCAATTGTGTCTGACACTATATGCAATGTTCTACACCCATTATACAAACTACAAAGAAAAGAGGGTTATGTAGTTTCTCAATCCTTTCTCAGAGACAAACGCATATTGGTCACTAATTTGTAATTAGAGTAGCTTGCTCTTTAAATTTGTCATTAGAGCTGCTTGGGACCTTGAAGAGCATGTTCACTCATCTTCAAAGTCACGAATGAATATAGTAAATGATAGTCATTTTGCATTTCTAATAGGGCCTTCTTGTGTTCAGAACACGTGTCCAAAGAACACCTCTGGAATGTTGTTTTCCTTTATGGATGCATCCTCAAATTGCCTTGACTCTGCTGATAGCTACTTTTGAAATTCTGCCTTGTAGATAGTTTTTCATCCATAGGATTTCTTGGATTGGGATTTGGAAGCTGTGATATAACTGCAGGAGAGTTGAGAGGGTTGTATGGAGGCTGGAGCTTCAAACTTGAAAACAGATGTCAGTTTAATGGTAGTTTATGTCAAGCTATAGACTGTATGAATAGGATGAACTGGCTTTTCCCTGCCACCATCATTTCACTTCTTCCAAGATCTTGAGATCCATCCACTGTACTGAGAATGAGAATGAGGAGAGCTGCATAAATGGGAACACCCATCTGCATATACAGTTATCCCTTCTACATCATGACTTTCCCCATCGTGGTTTCAATATATCTCGGGTTGGCATAAGAAACTAAACGGGAATTTTTGGGAGTTTTGTGGAAGCTACAAATGACATGCAAAGGCCAGCAGATGACACAGAGCCTATGACCAAATACTTAACCCAAATTTTACAATAAGGGACTCTAAACACCCCATAAAGAAAAAGAAAAAATTCAGAGTTCTCAGGTATGAAGAGAGGGCCAAAAACTTTTATGCAGATTTTCCAGATCATGGGGGGCAGGGCACATGTGCCTCCTAACCCCTGCAATGTGGAAGGGATAACTGTAGTAGGTTTTTTATTGTTCTTTGTTGAGGTCAGGAAAGTGTCTTGAGTAACGGTCAAACAAATTTAATTTTTGTGACTTGTTTGTGGGGAACTTATTATGCAAATACACCAAGGGTATTGTTGTAAATGCTAAATAATTTTTAATTCTCATCACCATTGGTCTTATTAAGCAATTTTAAATCACTTCAGAAATTTAAAAAAATCCATTTTTAATTGCTAACTGACCGCCATGCTTAGAATACACTCTTCTCCTTTGGTCTTGGAATCCTTGTTGTTGTTCAGTTATTTTAGTTGTGTCTGACTCTTTGTGGAGTTTTCTTGGCAAAGATACTGGAGTGGTTTGCCATTTCCTTCTCCAGCTCATTTTGCAAATGAGGAAACTGAGGCAAATAGGGTTAACTGACTTGCTCAGGGTCACACAGCTAGTAAGTATCTGAGATTGGATTTGAACTCAGGTATTTCTGACTCCAGGCCTGGAGCTCTATCCACTGTGCCACCTAGTTACCCCCTTAGAATTCTTGGTTTCCTCTTAAACTTTTCTCTAGTACTACTTAGAGCTTTACCTTCACCCCATAACCTTCACCTTCTTCTATCTTATCTATCTGTATATTACAGGTCATGTAGTCCACTCAAGGAGAGGCAGTGTTTCATTCATTATATCTATATCATCAGCACCTAGCACGGTGCCTGGTACATGCTTGGTGAATGTTTGTAAACTGATTTACAATTCTCATCCTAATTCATACGTCTAACATGAATACGTTTTTTCCCCCGTAGGAGATTTTGACTTGTCTGATGCCCTTCCTGATGGTGAGTAACAGATATCCTCAGCATTCGTAGATGTTTACCCTGTCAAATACAAGCCAAGTTTCTTTTTTATTGAAAAATAAACCTGATTTCATGAAATATGTCATGCTCCTTTATAGTTCTGAATGACATTAAAATAAATTGCTGGGCACTTAATAATCTGCCATAGTGTTACTTCACCAGTGTATATACACAGGATCCATGTGGAGTTATTAGCCTCAAGTACTATTTAAGGTACAGGGAAATAATAGGAAGCGATGTTCCAAGTTCTGTATTTGATAGCTCTTTTTTCCTTACTGTACTTATAGTTATAAAAAATGATTTTAATGTCTCATTTCCTCTACATCTCTCAACCTTTCTTTTGCCTCTTTTCTCTTTACCCAAAGTCTGAGATGACTGTGGTGTTGTATCTATGTGGTGACGGTGCAGGTTTAGGATTGGGAGAGGAAGATAAAAAATGATGTACTTAGGGTGGATGAGGTAGAATACTCTAGTTCTTTTAGATCTTAAAGCTCAGACCTTGGTTTCAGACCACTTTGATTTTATTTCTTTGTCCACGTGAGCTAGAAAAAATGGGCTTAAGCAAAAGACCTTTTGCTTAGGCTTAGTAGGTATCACATCATACAGGAGTGAAGTGTGTTTCCAAATGCCCAGGAAAGCTCAGCTTATCCTTATTTTCTATTCTAAAAGAGCAGATAGGCCAGTGCACAATCTCCTCTAATTTGTTACCAAAAACCCTGTCTTGATTTTCGTGTCCTATTGGAAGGTGTTTTAAAGAGTAACGGGAAGCTGGGAGTTGGTATAACCTCAAGTACCACTCCCCATCCATGTACCTTCTTCTCCTGACCTTTCTCTTAGGGGTTGGCAGTGATTAAAGAGTGATCCAGTAACCAATCTCTGGGAATAATTTTAGAGCTTTAAGGACATAGTTTCTAAGGTCAATGGGTAGAAGTTGCAAAGAAGGAAATTTAGGCTCAACTAAAAAAAAAAATTCCTTAAGAATTATGAAAAAAGCAAAAACCTTCCGTACAATGAGCCAGAAAAGAAAGAGGGGAAAAAAGGACAATCTGGTCAAGTTGGTAATGTTTTCTCAGAACACTCCCCCTCTTTCCCTATTCTCTCTGCCTGCTTTGCTCTTATTTTCTTCAAGCTCACCCTTAATGTATAACTTTCTATCCCCTTGCTCAATCTCATTTCTTTTGTCTTAAACTCCTATGGGTCATTGAAATTAATGGGGCATGCTCAGAACCCAGTCAAATTGTGATTATATTAAAATTTCAATCTGCAAACAACAGATTTGACAGTGTATTCAGGAGCAACTGAACAGACTTGCTTCAATAGCACATTTTGCCAAAATCGATGTTTCCTGGTAATAGTGTTTCACACCTGATTTTTGATTGGTGTTCATTTATTTTTATAATATTTTTATTGATTTCTATTTATTTGTCCTAAAGAGAAACCTACAAAGAAACCAATTCCAGCTACCAAAAAGCCACAACCTGGTAAGTAATAATGTTAACTTTATTAATTATACAGCAGAATGTCATTAAAGCATACAGTGGATTGTACCTATTTTCTTGAGACCAAGTGCATTGACAAAGTTGGGATAAAATTTGTCAACAATAGAGTGCTCATTCTGCACATTAGTGATTCATATTTGAAATGTCATAGGAAATTGACACTCTTAGTTAATGAGTTTTAAGAGAGTTGTAGAGAATTTTTCTATTAGATATTATTTGACCTTTATTGAGCCTACTAGAAGAAAGATACTTTTGGAGAGGCATTTTCAACTGTTATTGAGGATGCTCTACCCTCAATCTGTTGGGGAATAGGCTTCTGGGGATCTTTTAGGAACTTGTCATCAGAGAACCTAGAACAGGGGTGGGGAAAAATTTGGATTCAGTCAAAAGGCCACAATTAAGGATCTAGAAGGCCACATGTGGCCTCAAAGTCACAGATTCCCCACGCCTGACCTAGAAGATGATATTCAAAAAATAAAGTCATAATTTTGCTGGAGACAGAGAGTGGTATTAATTAAGAATGATAAGGCCCACAGACTGTAGGGGAAGTGCTTTCCTCAATAATGAGTTATAAACCCAGTATAAATGGAAACCTATCAATCACAGTGACTGTAAGGGGAAATTCCTCAGTCACTACAAACACACAAGTCTATAAGAACATTAGTACTATCTAATTAAAATAGAATAATTAACAACAATTCTTAAAATATAAGGCACATAATCATTTTTTTCACATTGGAAATTTGTACAAAAGTTTTTAATAAATTACACATGCACTAAATGAAACTCAAATTTCCATTTCAACTCAATTCAACAAATATTTGTTGATTATATAATATGTAAGCAAATTCTTCTTGTAAATAAATGCTTGAGTTATATATATATAATGTATATGTATGTATGTATGTATATGTATGTGTATATATATGGTACTGTGCTGAAGCCTGAGTAGAGTAAGAAGATAAGGAATGCTCTCTGCCCGCAAGAAGTTTTCAGTCTTCTAGAGGTGATCACAAGCATATAAATGACTATAATACTAGGTAGAACATGTTAAATGCTATAAGATGAGGTCAGAGGATGAGGTTTATTGAAGAACTCAGAAAATGAGATTCATTCTGAGGAGAAATTGTCAGGAAAAGCAAAGTTTGGGGGGGGGAGTGGTTAAGGCATTCCAGGTGGGAGGAGAAGTAAAGCAAAGGCCTATAAGAAAAAAGGAAAAAGGTATGTTCTAAGATCAACAAGTAGAATATTTTGCTTGGAATGTAGGGTGTATATATTCTCTCATCTTTGGGACTCCATACTTGAGCTGGGGCTGAGTTATCCTGATTAGTGTGTACATGAATGAAAACTGACGCAGCACACTATATTTAGCCAGCTCCAGACCACATTTCACATGTAACCCAGTCCACCAGGAGACCAGGATCTACCCAGCATTGACATCTTGCAATATGTCCTAGTGCCATACACATCCTTTCCCCACTTCTCTTTTTCCACCTCTGATTCTTAACACACAAATCATTTCTGAAAGGAGCATGGCTGTGGTTTTCCTTTCAAGGACTCCCAAGTGGGCTTCCTAATTCCTAGCAGAGAGAGATGAAAAGAGAGAAGGAAAAAGGATTTAAAAAAAAGACCTCCAATCACTCCTGCCCACCAGAATAGTAGCTTTATATCCACCTCTTCCTCCAAAAGAGAAAATGAGACAATCCACTAAAATCCTTACTGTTCCTACTGGGAGGGGGGCTGGGGGAGAGAGAGAGAGAGAGAGAGAGAGAGAGAGATTAGTTATCTTCTCCTCTCTTGGTAGATTCAGGCCTGTAAACTATGCCAACTATAAAGTTTGATGGAGTTGGTTCTACTTTTTAAAGAAAGGAGTCAGTTTTGAATTAGCTGGAATGGAATAAAGGGAGAGAAATCCTCATTAACAAATGAATAGAAAGCTGCTTTCTTAATTAATTCCGCATGACTACTTGGGAACCACTATTTTGTGTCAAGGGAGTCTTACACTTTCTATAATAATGCTATGTTTTCAATCTGTGACCCATCATATGTTACTCTTTCCTGAAACCCATTCTCTTAGTTAAAGGGTGAGAAATCTAAAAGAAATTTAGTGTCAGTTATCAGTTATACTGTTGGCAAGAGTGATTGAACAGGAAGCCTCATAATGATCCTACCATTAGTGGATTCCCTTCATCATGACTAAGTAGAGACATTCCTAACATATAGACTAGTAGTAAAGTTGTTGTCCAAATTTTGCTTCTGAAAAATACACTTCTGTGTATGTATATCTTCTGGTTGTGACTACTCAGTATTTTGAGACTGAATCTGAGTAAGTGTGTCTGACTTAGAAAATTAATTCCATAAATTAATAAAATGTGTGATGGTCAGAGTATAGTTACCATGTTAGATTCTAAAGTTCACCTCAGTTTGGGATCATATATTTCCTTGATAATGTTATTTATATAACTACTTATACAAGTCATTAAACAGAATATTCTCTCCTTTGGCTTTTTGGTCACTTGCCATTTTGATTCCCAATCACAGTTTTCTATGATTTGTAGTCACACAGTATAATCAAGAGAATAATAGTGTTTTAAAAACATGAGCTTTTGTGTCATGGGGCAGCTTGGGATCACTGAAATAATTTACCTAGATGTAATCAAGCCCTCTTTCCTTCTCTTACTCAGTTTCGAACCTAGCTCAAAGTTGATGAAAAATTTTTGACCAAGATATACTTACTGATGGACTCCTATTGTCTTTCTTGCTGATTGATCGTTAGTGGACTGTTAAGCAGAGTTATCTTTGGGGTGTATCAATAAGAAATCTTCTGAGATTTTAAAACATTCATGAGTGATATGTTGCTTGAAGTTGATACATTAACCATATTCTTTGAATATCCTTGGAGTTGTTTAAAAAGCTATTAATCCACCTAACTGTAGTATCACTAACTCACTCATTCATTCATTCAATAAGCAATTATTAAGCATTTATTACTCATAAAAATTTCTTCAAGGCTTATTTGAAATTTCCGTAGTCTAACAAAACCACAATTAAATAAGTATCTGTTAAACTCTTACATCAAATACAAACTGAAAACCCAATAGGCATATTTTATATAATTTTAAAACAAGATTTTAAAGTTGAAATATCAAATCCACACAGTGTTGACTACCCTGACTGTGACCCTCCAGCCCACATTTTTTTCATCTTTTTGACTAATACAGAACTATGTTTAACATGATTGCACACGTATAACCTATATCAGATTGCCATCTTGGAGTGGGGTGGGGTAGAGAGGAAGGGAGGAAAAAAAAATTGGAGCTCAAAATCTTATAAAAATTGAAAGCTGAAAACTATCTTTACATGGAATTAGAAAAAATAAAATTCTATTGATAGATAGATAGATACATAATGAAATAATTTGTCTTGTACTACTCTTGACTGGGCCTGACTCAGGCCTTCATAGTTTGTGTTAATACTGGAATGAAATGAAACATTCTTGGGTCATAGACAAATTAGCATAGAGAGATTGACAGTCACAGGAGAAAGATAGCAACATGGATTTCCCTGGTTTCTTAATTGTCGATCATGGTTCATCTTCCCGGCAACATATGGAGCGCCTCATGGCTATTTTGTGCTCATGTGATGAGCAATTGATTTCAGCAGCCTGAGTCACTAGTTCCCTAATGATTTTAAACCTTCTAAGAAACAACTCACCTAATTTGCATAGGGAGAACATTTAGGATATTGTTCTCACTGTAGATGACTTGCCAAAATCCAGACATACTTTGTCTGTGGCCTTCCCTTGAATTCTTGTAACGCCAAAATAAATCATCAAAAATATTTGGCGGGAACAACCCTTGTTTGGATATTAACATATTCTAGTGTGTTCTAATAACATAATTGGCTAATTAATTTTTATCTCTTTCTAGTGTCTCTTTAAAAAAATCTTCATGTTTCTATCTTACTTTACAGCCTAATTTGGATAGTGCAGTAATGGTGTGCTATTTGAATGATATTAGTAAACTGGTACCTTATTCTTGGTCTCAGCCAATCTGTCCTGCTTTACTCAGCAGTTTGTCCTAGTTAGTGATTATCACACATTTTATCCGTAACACCAGTTATCACCAGGGAACATGATGATGATGATAAAAGTAGTAATAATGATAATAATAATGATAATGAGATATAATGCTTTAAGGTTTGAAAATAACTTTACATACATGGTTTTATTTGATCCTCATAACAAATTTGTTAGGGAGGACCTACAAATATTATCCCTCTTTTACAAATGAAGAGCCTGAGACTTAGAGAGGTTAAATCACTTGCTCTAGTTAAAGCTAGAAAATGTGCAGTGGAACCTATATTTACTGATGTCAAACTCTTTCCATGATGTCATATTGCCTCTAAAGCACCTTCCTCTTGTATGAAACCTGTTCATCATAATGCTAGGAGTTAAAATATATAAATAAGTTATAGTGTATTTATTGGAAATTTGAAGGGACACAGACTGAGAAGGCTAATTCTGAAAAGGCTAATGCCAAAAAATTGTAAATGTCGGAATTTGAATAAAGACATAATATGTGAAATGTGAAATGTGAAATGTGAATCACATTTTAGGACAAACAATGCAAACTGTTTAATCATGTCATCAGATCATATATCCACAGCTTTGCCTCAGTATTTAGCAAATGAATTGCAAACTATTCCTTCATTTTCTTCTAATGCATATAGTGTTACTAGAAGCAAGGTCAGCAATTCTATTTCAAATTTCCAAGACAGATGTTGTTTAATAGAAATTTTCAACAAAATATTATAAAATGAGTGATTTTCATGTCCACTTACCATGTAGATTTTGTCATTTATTTCTTTATATTGATAGTATTCTCTATATTAACTATTCTTTAATTTCTTTGCAGACAGTGGCTTGTCTTTAGAAGATGCTCTTTTAAATGGAGGAGATGGTAAGAAGCATTTCTGTTAGCAGATAAGATGAGATAATGTTTCTATAGGTGGGGAGGTTGTCTCTGTGGTAATTAATGATACTATTTAGAAAGAAATCTTTCTTTTCTTTTTTTTCTTTTAAATCTTTTTCTCACTTAATAGTATTTTATTTTTATAATTATATGTGAAGATAGTTTTCAACATTCACTTTTATAAGGTTTTGAGTTCCAATTTTTTTCTCCCTCCCTCCCCTCACCCTTCCCCAAGACCGCAAGCAGTCTGATATAGGCTATACGTGTACAATCATATTAGACATATTTCCACATCAGTCACGTTGTGAAAGAAGAATCAGAACAAAAGAGAAAAACCACTAGAAAGAAAAAAAGAGAAAATAGTCTGCTTTGATCTGCATTCAGATTCTCTGGATGTGGATAGCATTTTTCATCATGAGTCTTTTGGAATTGTCTAAAATTGTATTGCTGAGAAGAGCTAAGTTTATCAAAGTTGGTCATCTCACAATGTTGATATTACTGTGTACAGTCTCCTGGTTCTTCTCACTTCACTCAGTATCAGTTCATGTAGGTTTTTCTGAAATCTACCTGCTCATCATTTCTTACAGCACGATAGCATTCCATTTCATTCATATACCACAACTTGTTCAGTCATTCTTCAATTGATGCGCATAGAAATCTACTATTTTAAGTTGATGCACATAAAAAGAACTTCAAAAAGTATAAAATTATCAAAATTTTAGATATTTGATTACTTTTTCTTCATACCACACAAGCCCAACTCACATGCCTTCTCATTTAGGTTTAGGTCCATACTTACATAGAGGCAAAAAAAAATGTTTACACACTTATGCACAAACAATACATTATCTGGACATGGTACCCTTTAAAGGGGTTGTTAATATGATTTTGATAGAAGAGAGTGATTTGCAGCTTTGCTGTTTTGTATGATGAACTATGGTTTTTCTCAGCTTTTTTGAAATGGCTTTTGCAAACCTCACGTTCCATAATATAAGATCATGGCAGAATTTATATTCCTAGGATGAAATTCTTATAGTTAGTGATATATCACTGATAGTTTATTTTTATTCAGAACATTTGAGCCAGTAAATTTGTAGTAAGAGTGCTGACTATTGATAGATTGATACTAGTATGATCATTCTTGTTTCTGATTCCAGTATGTGGCTTGGGATAAAACACTATCTCATTTCCACCAGGTGGCATCAATTGACAAAAACATTGTTTTTTTTTCCCTTTTATTGTTTTATTACATTAATTTATATTTATGTAATAACACAAGAATTTCCATAATATAGTATAATAAAAAAAGATGATTGCACATGAAACTGCAAATCTACTATGAACAACTTAGTATTCCTTTCAAATATACAAAAAAATTATTCTGTAAATTTCTTTTTTTCTCATTTTTTCCTACCCTTCCCCTAGCCTGCCCTAGAGATGACTAACATTAGACACAAATATGTATATATATGTATATAATATGTAAAATTATTCTATGCATACTACTATTTAACATTGATTTTTTTAAAAAATTCCTTTTTTGTACTGTGAACTTAACAATCAACAGACCTTGACATATTGAACACAGAATATGAGATAACCTCTGTTAGGTACAGTTTAATAATTATATATATATACACACACATATATTTATATACTCATGCATACAATATAGACGCACACATATACATCCATATATACATACATACACACATATATACATATATATGTTGTTGTTACAATTGTATCCAACTCTTTATCACTCAATCTGGGATTTTCTTGGCAAAGATACTAGAGTGGTTTGCAGTTTTCTTCTCCAGCTCATTTACAGATGAGAAAACAGGCAAACAGGATTAAATGATTTGCTCAGGGTCACACAGCTAGAGAGTTTCTGAGTCCATATTTGAATTCAGAAGGATGAGTCTTCCTAACTTCAGGACCCTATTCCCTGTGTCACCTAGCTCCCTTTTCTCATATGCATGTTGTTTTTCTAAACAACCTTCTGCATTAACTACAGAGGTAAAAAAAGGAACACGTGCTTGCTGAACATGATTCCTGCTAAAAAATACTGAGTTTGGGGAATTCAAACATAGGTGGGAAAATAGAAACATTTAGTGGATACCTAGTAACAATAGAAACTTTTAACAATTAAAGCAAAGGTCATGAATGTGTTAATTGTTCATTTTTAATTTTGCTTTGGCTGGAATTTGGTGTGGGGCTATAAGATAATTTTCAAATATTATTTTTTAAAAAATTATACAAAGCAACTACCTTAATCATTTTAGGTCTTTTATCAAGTTTAAATGTGTTGTGTTACTGTTTTAATATTTTTCTACAATGTCACATCCATCCAAGCATCATTATAATGTATGTCCTACTTACCATTGAAATATGTTTTTTCTCTTTAAGAAAAAATTAAAATTTTTAAAAGAAAATGCATATTCATGACATATAAGTAAGAGTTTTATATAATATTGCAAAGGATTATAGAAGGGACCTCAGAGGTCATCTAATTTGATACTCTGACTTTATTGATGAGGAAGCAAAAGTCCAGTATTTTTCCTCCCTGGCTGTAATTAACTCTTGTTAATTACAATTTTTTTCATATTGAAGTGAGAAAGAGGATCCTTTTAGACTGTACTTACAATCAATTCATCGCCATGAAAATTTTATTGTCCCAAAGTCTGGGGAATAGGCAGCCTACAAGCATTTAAAATGTATAACTTATTAAGTTCTTGGTAAATTGAGGTAAGGTCAATTATAGAGAATATTTTGAAGTGCTATAACTGGCACTTTTTTTTTTGAGTGAGATGGCAGGGGATGTAGATAAAGGGAGGTACGTGGTCTATTTAGTAAGTGAATAAAGTTATGCCCTCACATCGATTCAAACAATCTGTTAGCATTTATGTCAATTAAAGAATAAACAGTTAATTAGCATGAATTATTCCCTCTCTGCCACTACAGTTTGAAAAGTTAGATCCTCACCTTTTTTTTCTACAGATGACTCTGTGAAGCCTAATCCACCAAAACCCAAACCAGGCCAACATGGTGATACAGGTAAGATAATTTATTCCTCTTTCATATCCTTGGTACTTTTTTTTTTTAAAGGCAATTGGGGTTAAGTGACTTGCCCAAGGTCACACAGCTAGTAAGTGTAGTGTTGTCTGAGGCCAGATTTGAACTCAGGTCCTCTTGACTTCAGGGTCGGTGCTCTATCCACTGTGCCACCTAACTGTCCCCTAAGTACTTTTCAATGTTTGGTCTTTATATCTGGAGTTAAAACCGACTAACTTCTGATTAGTATTGGAAATATCGCTCTCTAATATCTTGCCATGAAATGCAGGTGTCCCTGAACTCCCTGAAGCTCTTACAGGTTTTACTAAGAAAAGTTTTGAGTACAGTTCCCATAACAGACCATTTGCTATGTGAGGACGAGTTTGGTTAAGTACTGAGAAGCTCATCACCACTTGATTGGCCATTAGGTGATATTCTTTGGCCATAAAATCCACAATGACCTTTAGGATTATGTGACCTCCTGCTTCTACTATCCCATAATCACAGAAGGTCTCAGAGGGTATGAGAATTAGAGTTTTGACATAGTCTGTAATCATAATTGTTGATATTCTAAGTCTTGGTCCAATGACTGCTAAGTTGATTTGTTCCTGCAGGAGCTGGACCACATCCATGTTGATTTCCTTACAGTCAGAGCAGTAGAGGTGAAGAAGTGGTAGCTAGATAGAAGAATGACTTATAGGCTATCCTTTGAGATTCAAGTAAAAATATTGTCAGAGTTGGTTTCATTATGCCTCCAAAGTAAAATAGAAACAACATTTCAGAGGACATTTGATCATTTTGCCTGGTGTGCTGGCAAGGGATTTATGGTCTAGGTAGTTACAAAAATGGTTAGTGGCACAATAGGATGATAAATTGATTTGGCCTTTTCAGGGGCAACTGTAGTATTGGTTTGATTATCATTTCAGAGTAAGAAATAGAGAGGAGAAGGGGGAACAAAGATAATGTAGAGGAATGTCAGCTATGAAGATATACAGCAGGGATGTTGTGGGTCCTGATACTCTCATAGTAGCTATGAAGGACTTTCAGAAACTCTGAAACATAAGCAAATTGGGCTTTTATGGTACCATTTACTGTTAGCATCCTGGTCAGTGTGATGTAAGTGTCTAAGAGTCAAAAAAAAAGATAGGGTAGATGTGACCAAACATTTTATTTTCACTGATCTTTACAACCTCTCAGAACTCTCCAAAATAGGAATTATTTGCAAAAAGAAAAGTTATTGCAGCTGTCTCCATAGGCTGAAACACCAAGTCCCTTAAATTGTCAGCATCCTGATGAATTAACAGCAAAGAAAGTGAATCTCTTATTCCTAAAATGGTCACTCAGCACCCCCTAAACTCTGGTGTGACTGTATAATGAGACTCATGGGCTTATGCTCTGGAAACCATCCAACAACTCCCCTTTTGCTGCTACAGTCTGTCAACATATCCTCAATAACTCTGCCCTCATTCCACCATTCTATGGTAATAAGTAACAGAATTCAACTCTGCCACCCCCTGCCACAGCCCCATCTCTCCCCCCACAGAGCAGGTGGTGGTATGGAAAAGAGGAAGCTTGCTCTGTCTATCCTGTAGCAATGCTTAGCCAGAAAACTAAAGGATAAAAACAATTGAGTTAGGCTACCAGCATGTGTCTGGGACTCCATTGGACCTGAATGAAAGGAGACTGTCATCCAACAAAGGGCAGTTCTGTCCCTCCAGAAGTTACTCAGAACAAGGACTGAAGCTGGTGAAAAGTGAATCCCCCAATGTGGGAGGAGTCTGAATCAACTTAGTGCAGCCTTCAGGTATCTGCCATAAAATACAAAGGAGTCAGAAACTTAATAGGAGGAGAACATAAGGGGGAGAAATATTGAAATGACCAAAGGTCACAGGAGGAAGAAAACTCAATTGAAAACTTGGATCATAAACAGATAAATCAACAGAAGGAAAGATGTCCTTCAGCACATATAAATGAGTCCAAATATCTGAATAAATATTGCAAGGCAAAGGGAAATAAATCACTATTTGATGATCCAGAAGACTCTATTGGTTCTCAAGAAAGTAATGGTTCAAGAGACACTTAGAATTCTGAAAGCAGAATGTATGACCCAAACCACAGAAATAATTGGTAAAATAGAAAAAGTTGAACCCATGGAGGTGATTCTCTCCAAAGGAACAAGAGAGAAAAAATGATTGGGAATGCCAACATACAGAAGAGAAGGACAATCTGGAAGAAGAAAAACAAAGAGCAATAACATTATAACAAACACACACATAGTAAAACAGTAATCTTAGAGACAGGATGTGTAGATACAACTTAAGGCTCATAGTTCTAGAAGGACATGACAACATAATGCAAGAAAAGTGCTCAGAACACAAAAAAACAAAATACCAACCAAGTGAATGCACAGATCACCTCAGGGTGGTGGTGGGAGACAGAAGGAGAAGAAGAACACTATGCTGATTACTTCAAGATGCATAGTGGTTAAATTTAACATTTCCAATGTCAAAAAAAAATTCTACAAACAAAAAGAAGGAATTAATATAAAGAAAAGAACATTTGAATAACTCAAGATTATTCTTAAACCCACCAGACCATAGAAGAGAATGAAATATTTTCCAAAGAACAAATGCACCAAGGATACAATTCTAAGTCTAATCACCAATGAAAAATGAAAAAGGCATTTGTAGCATTCCTACAAAATATACACATGAGCAGATTATTTTCCTTGCAAATACCCCAACAACAGAAATACAGGAAAGTTAAGAAAGGCACTCATTAAAATAAACAAACAAAAACGAATTACCCCAGAAAAAAAGAAAAACTAGAAAGAGAATGACTTTTATGGGGTTTAAATAACAGCAGAGGAATAATTAAGAGATTTCTTTCTAAAAGTACACATAGAGACAAGAGTAGAAAGTAAAATTTAAATAGATGTGTTCATGGAGGAACAATTGCCAAAACATTATGAACTAAACCTCAGAACACCATGCCTACCAATTAATCAGTGTTAGTGGCTGTTTATTTTTTTAATTTTTTAGTGTGGAACTAAATTGCAAGATGCAAGGGTATATAAAAGAGAGAGGAGAGGAAAATGATAAAGGGAAATATGCATACTCTAAGCAATTCAATGGTATATAATGAAAACAAAATAAATCTCATGGTCTCTCAGGAAGAAGAGGGGATATGAGCGAATGGCAAAGGTGACAAAAGGAAGGACTGAAATCTTAATCATTGAAACAGAATATGTAGCAGCCAATGCTGTGGTGAGAACCATTGGAGGAAAGTTCGTGTTATCAGGGAATGCCCCAACAGAAGCATTAAACATCATGATGACAGAATTGTCATAATTGTAAGAGCTGTCAGATAAGTAAAGAAAGGCATTGAAAGATTATATCAACGTCTAGCTAAATAAGCACAGTAGAAAATCTGAACACATTGCTCAATTAAAGGAAATCAAAAATAAACAGGAGGAAAGAAATCCAGAAAAAGACATAAATCCTAGATTCCTTTAATCATGAATCAAAGTAAAACGTCAAAGGGTCAAGATGACACAAGGAGTCAAAATAATATGAAGAACAAAATAAACAATTCGACATCAATCAAAACCTTTATTTGGAGGGTCTTGTAAAGTGAAGTCAAGAGGCAAGAACTCCAGAAGGAAGACCATGTGGAATAATCTTTGGTTATCTCTATGGTACTGTAACTCTGAGGTAGGGTGACTGACTCCATCCCTCTAGCTTAGGTTTATGGGGTTTCTTGAGTGTCTCTTAATATGGACCCTAATAATAAATCACAGTATCACCCCTCACCCAAGATAAGTGGAGATCTCTTTACAATCTGGACTGGCTTGCTTACTCCAGGCTACTCTAACACTGGCACATCTATGTTACCAAAGAAAGTTATAGCAGTTAGTGGTAAGATGATAGCAAACCTATGATTTAGAACTGGAAGTCTCCTAGCCTAAACCTCATTTTTCATATGAGAGAACTGAGACCAAGAAGGGTTACATTATGCCAATCAACCTTCTGTGTCCCTGATTGTGACATGAGGTTTCTGTTTCCCGTTTTAGGAGGGAAGGGAGAGATAGCTAAATGCAAGGGCTGTGCCCAATCTCACCCTAGACGTTTTATGCTTGCTGCCTTCTTTATTCTTAATCCTATGTCTGTCTTCTAAGTTCTTTTTTTTGTGCTTGATTCCTTCATACTCTGTTTTCTTGACTTCACTTACTCATCTAGGCTCTAACTCGTGACCTATCCTGACTTTGCTACTAAAATGTCATTATTTTGAAATTGATTCCACTAGTACTAACTTTGATTCTTCCCCCCCCCCACCCCAGACCTAACTATAGCTTGCTTGGGCCTAGCTACCTGTCTATCATTCACAGTGGGCTGCTAGTCTATCCCTTGGCATGACACTCCGCCTTTATTAGGTGAGCTTCTTTTAAGTTGATCTTGACTTTTGTACTGATATATCTCTCTGAGGGTCATGAAGAATTAAAATGTGGGTTACTGCAGACTTACTTTTCTTTTATGGCCATATGAATTATAGGACATAGAATAATGCACAGATGCACAAAATATCTAATTTTGCAATTCTAATTTTCTCCCCTGTATAGGTGGCATTACAGATGATGATCTCAAAGGGCATACTCACTCAGGAGGTATCATGAATATTATTTATTCCAATGTTTCCTTGCTACTTTTAAAATTTTTATCAGTAAACATTTATTAAGCACTTTTTTTGCAAAGCATTGTGAAAAACTACAAATAAAGGAGAAAATTGTTCTTGACCTTTAGTAGGGTTATATAGTCTAATATTTTGAGGGAAACATGCTAATTCATAGTCTGTTTTTCATCTGGAGCACAGACATTTGCTAACAAACAGATTTGAGAATGAAAGGCTAATCCTATAGATGCTTCCTCTTTACCATCCACACCTGTAATTCTCACTGGTAGTTAGTGACTATTAACAGGGTGCAAGCCCCACGAATAAGATTGTACTTTTAAAATGAATGGGTTCTTCTGAGGAACAAATGATAGGAAGAAAGAAAAAGAAGTAGAAGGAATAAGAATAGGCAATGAGCAAACAAAATTTTGTCTTCTTTTGAAGATGATATGGTGGCATATTTAGAGAACCCTGGAGAATCAACTAAAAACCTAGTCAATACAATTGACAAATTTAGCATTTGCAGAATATAAAATAAACCCACATAAATCATCAACGTTTCTATATATTACCAACAAAACTCAATAGGAAAAGATAGAAAGTAAAATCCCATTTAAAATAACTTCAGACAGTATAAAATAGTTAGGAGTCTACCAAGACACACACAGAGAAATAATACAAATGCAATTGTAATATACTTTTCATACAAATAAAGTCAGATCTAAATAATTGGAGAAATATTAATTATTTGTGGATAGGCTGAACCACTTTAATAAAAATGATAATAGTGCCAACAGTGCCAAACTAAGCAAACTACAGAGAGCTGTTTTATAGAATATAAAAAATAATAAAATTTATCTGAAAGAATAAAAGGTCAAGAATATTAAAAGAATTTTTTTTTAAAGATGAAGGAAGGTGGCCTAACAGTAACAGATCTCAAACTATACTGCAAAGCAATAAAAAACAATCTGGCACTGAATATGAAATAAAGTGGTTTATCAATAGATTAGAATAGATCAATAGCTTAGATAAACAATATACAGAGGTAAATAACCACAGAAACCAACTTTTGGGTTTGATAAACCCAAAGATCCCAGCTATTGGTGCAAGAATTCATTATTCAACAAAAACTGCTGGGAAAACCAGAGAACCGTCTGGTAGAAACTAGACAGAAACTAACATCTTACACAGTATACCAAGATAAGCTCAAAAAGTGTGCATAATGTAGACATATAAGTGATATTTTGAGCAAATTTGGGGAGCACAGAAAAAAAAACTGCCTGTTAGACCTCAGGAAAAGGGAAGAGTTTATGACCAAATAAAAGATAGAGAAGCTCATAAGAGGTAAAATAGATTATTTTAATTACATTAAATTTAAATTTTTTTGCACAAATAAAATCAATTCAGTTAAAATTAGAAGAAAAAAGGAAACTGGGAAAACATTTTTATAGAAATTTTCTTTTATAAAGGTTTATTTCTTAAAAATATGTGTAAACTAAACAAAAGTTTAAAAAAAATAAGAGCCTTTCCCCTATTGATAAATGGATATGAGCTGTTTTCAGAAAAAGAAATCAAAGCTATTAATAGTCATGAAAAAAATGCTCTAAGTCACAAATAATTAGAGATATGCAAATCACAACAACTCTGATGTACACCTTAGACCCATAAAAGAGATAACCATCAATTGGAAAATGACTGAACAAATTGTGGTATATGATTGTGACGGAGTATTGTTGTGTTGTAAGAAATGGTGAAAGGGATGGTTTCAGAAAAAAAAAACACCTGAGAAGACTTACAAACTAATGCAAAATTAAGTGAACATAACTAGAACATTGTACATAGAAACATACTGTAATAATAATCAACTATGAAAGATTTAGCTACTCTAATATAATGACAATTAATTAATTCATGACAATTCTGAAGGACTCATGATAAAAAATGAAGTCCATATCCACAGAGAGAACTGATAATCTTGAGTGCAGATTGAAACATATTTTTTTCTGCTTTCTTTCTTCTTTCTTTCTTTGTTCTACAACATGGCTAAGGTGGAGATGTTTTACATGACTTCATATGTATAATGAGTATCATATTTCTTGCTTTCTCAATGGGTGGAGGAAAGGCTGGAAGAAGGGAGAAAATTTGGAACACATACATATACACATATACATACACATATACATATACATATACATATATATATACATATACACACACACATAACAAATCCAGTTACGGCATAGCTTTTTGAAAATTGTTGAGCAGCAGAAATGGAGGTGATAAACAATTTCACATTAGTTTATCCTTAGAGGAAAATAGTATAGAAATTTATTAGATAAGTTGCTTTAGTAATACTCAAAAGATAAGAAATGGAAATTCATAAATTAGAGTGACTAAATATGTTAAAGATTTTATTATAAGCTCTCATTTTGTACAAGTAATTTTACAAAGTTATATTACAGATAACTAGCTATGTGATTGTATTTAAGTCACTTAAACTCTGAGCCTACTTTTTTTCATTGGTAAAATGAGTATAATATTTGTACCACCTATTTCAGGGCTATTTTAAGGAAAGTGCTTTGTAAAAGACTGGTAAATGTAAGTTATTATTCTATTCATCTTTTGGATATATAGTTCCATTCACTTATTCATCTTGAGGAGAAGATATGCTATAAGTATATGCTAATTTTTAATTTTCTAGTAGGTAATGAACATTTTGCAGAAGTCTTTGCTTATCAATTTTTTTTGCTAGAAGTATATATAATATGCATATATTAACATACATTTTAATGTTTCATAGGTTCAGATGATAGAAGTAATGACGAGAATGCACCTGGTACGTATGCATAATTTCAAGTATCTTTGGCTTCTTATCCTCTTGTGCTGTGACAAAGCAGGCAAAATGATACAAACTTTATAGGCTCACTGATAATATTTGTTACTTTCTCTGTTCCATAAAACAATTCATTACATTGTGATGTGTCTTGAAGTATTCAACCAGCCTTTGACTTAAGACCTCCAACAAGGGGAGACCTAACATCTCTCAAGGCATCCTGCTACACATTTGGATAGCTTGAATTTTTAATAAGTAGTCCAAATGTGCCTCTTTGGGTTCTAAATTTAATTTATAAAACTTGTATAGCTTATTTAGACAAGTGTAAAATCTTAGGAATTCCATGTAAAAATGAAACTTTATTTTAAAAACTTTGAAATTGTGAAATAAAAATGGATAAGCTTTTAATGTAGAAAAGGCTATTTAAAATGCCTGGAAAACTAATTAAGATGTCACAGGAAAGAAAAACTCAACATGTGTGCTACTTTGATGAATAGAATGGTTTGACAAAAATAGTATAATTTTACTAATGCTTTCTATTACCTCTGTGCCTGCTTTTTTTTCATTTTCTCACTATTTTCTTTTGTCTCTGTCTTTTCTCCTGTCTGCTTCCTTCTGTCTTTTTCTTTTTCTTTCTATTTTTCTCTCCTTTTATTGTTTCTCTCTTTCTCTTTCTGCCCTTTCTGTTGGTTCTATTTTTCCTTGACTTCTCTCTGTTATTTTCTTTGTTATTTTTGTCTTTTTTTTTCTTTAGCTCCTTAACTATCCATGATTTGGACTGGAATGTTTTTTTAAAGTTTAATTTATTGCATAAAATTTAATGACTTCAATTAAAACAAAATAGAAAGCGGTTTTTTAATTGTCTCTAAAACAATGACTTTTCTTTGTACGTGTCTCTTGACAAATTTTCTCCTGTTGAGTCAGAGATCCTCAATGCAAAATGAGTCCCAATACTTAAATAAAACTAGGCAATATAGACCTTCCCATTGTTGGTACAAATCACAATCTGTATATGCCTCTTTATCCTAAGTAGTTTAGTATTTTTTCCATAGACGTTTTATAGAGAATCTAACATGCTGGAGGCCTTCCTCTAGGTCTTTTTACATTTCATGGGTAGCAGGACTGCACTTGAGCTGTTTGCTATCCCATGACTGATTTTTCTCCTTTTCTCATCATATATTTCCTTGATGGCATCCTTTGGGGCATTTCTTGCACATAAGTCATCATTGGAAATATGTAACAGCCTATTTGAGGTCATCATGCTTTTCTCCATAGCCTCTTTGGTTAACCTTGAACTCATAATAAAATTCCATAAGTTGATTTTTTTCCCCTTTCTTTTTGTAGCTGATTCCCCTGGAGTAATATCTGGAATTGTAAGTGCTGCAGTTGTGGCGCTGGTAGGAGCTGTATCCAGTTTTATTGCTTACCAGAAAAAGAAACTCTGCTTTAAAGGAAATGGTAAGGTTTACCATTAGATATTCCTGTTTTCATTGCAAGTAAGAAATTTGTCCTTGGCTGTTTTTCCTCCTATAAAAATGTCAACCAATGGCAGCTAGGTGGCATAGTACATAGAATATTGGACTTGGAGTCAGGATCCAGAGTTTGAATTTTACTTCAGCTCTCATTAGCTCTGTTGACCTGTGGGCAAGTCACTAAACCCACTGAACCTCTTTCAGCCTCAGTTTCTTAATCTTCATCCCCATAAAATGGAGATAATAATAGTATCTACCTCATGGGGTTACTGTGAGGTTTGAACAAGATAACATGTAAAAATGCTCTGGAAACCTTAAAATGCTATATAAAATCACCTATTTTTAATATCAATTAACATTTATTAAGTACCTACTATATGCTAGGCACTATGGAGAAACTGTAAAAATTCAGTTGAAATCAGTTTGCTAAATAGCACTGTGCCTCCCCAATATCTTTTCTAGAATGTCTGTATTGTTTTCCCAAAGGCAATCAAAGAACACTTGTTTTAGGTAATCTCCTGGAGTACTCATTTTTGGTTCATAAACAATACCCACCACTCATCTAAGGTATTTGTGTTCAAATGAAGGTACTGACTGACAAATTCAGGAAATGACTCTATTCCTTTAGTGGTGGATTCCCTTTCCCTTGACCTACTCTGTGGTCATGTGTTCTTCCCTCTTTCAGAAAAGAGATGAAATTAGTTTCTGTCCTTCAACAGACTCATTTAAAACATTTTTTTTCGATCAGAATATCTTTTTATTTCTGTAAAGCCAATTAATGTATGACTTATCTAAAGTGTTTTTCAAGGCCAGACATTCTGACCAGAGTTTTTTTTCTTTAGCTCCAAATTCAAGTGTCCTTTAGATGACAATCTTAATCTTCCTTGGGAGAAGTAACAAACACTTTGCCTAACAGTGGACACAGCATCATGTTAGCATTGGGAGATCATCTCAGTCCCCACGTTTTACAAATGAACAAATCAAACCCCAGTGGTCAAGTGACTTGCTCAGAGTTGCAAAGATCATTTATTAGCGATTGAGTTTAGACTAAAACTAGTCTTGGGTATTTTCCACTGCAAACAGGCTGCCTGTCACGGTAAGAGCTGATAGTTTGAGTTCATTAAGAATTCAATTGAAGTAAATGTATCTACTTTCTAGAAATCATTTTTCCTCCTTTGGTGAATTGTGTCACTGAGCAGACTCTGCTAATATAAGAAAATTTGATAGCTCATTATAGAAAAAGCATGAAGTTTTATTGATAACTCAGAAACTCTTAAAGTAGCTCTCCCCCCTTCACAGAACACAGACACCACACACACACACACCCCCCTATTTTTTAAGACTTCCAGACAACGCTAAAGGATATACAGTACTACATAAAGATATCTTTCTACCTTTAGTTTAGAAAAATTTATAGAGAAGCTAAAATTTGTTTCTGAAAAAGGAAAAAAAATCTTTCATATGCAATGTATTAACCTCTGAAAGGCTGTAGGGATATTTCATGAAATTCTCTAAAACAATGAAATTTGTGAAAGTATCTAAGATTCTGCACGGTTTATGCTTAATTAGAAATATGATATGATTGTTTGGAATTGAAGTAAAGTTTTTGATCTTTTCCCCAGCCTTTGGAAAAAACAGTTTCTTGGGGGGGTAGTAGATTGAAAGAAACAAAGCTATTACTCATGCAGCATCTGTACTGGGGCAGGAAGAAGGTGAATAAAGAGGAAATTTTGATGGAGATCCACTTGTTTGACTAGAAACAGAAAAAGAAATGCGATACTTTTAGCTGTATTAATAAAGCCTCAAAAAGAAACTACCAATGAGTTATCTTTTCTAAAGAAGGATGGCCCATCTAGTAAGTGTAGTGGATAGAACACAAGGACTTGCAGTCCGGAAGACCTGAATTCAAATTCTGCCTCAGATCCTTAATCAACTGTGTGAATCTGGGCAAGTCAGGCTCTCAACTTCAATTTCCTCAAATGTAAAATCAAGATAATAATATCTTGAAACTTCTAGGATTTTTGTGAAGATCAAATGAAAACATACATATATATATATACACATACATACATACATATATACGCACATACACACATACATACATATATACATATGTATATACACACATATGCATATATACACATATGTACATGTATACACATACATATATGTGTTTTACAAACCATAAAATGCAATATAAATGCTAGCTGTTATGATAATGTTAGAAATTACTCTTTTTAAGTGAAAATTAAAAGAATTTAATTGAAAGTATTATCTGGATTGTCCTCAGGAAATCTAGCTCGGTTTTAATACCTGTAATACAAAATATATTTATTATTCATCTTACCTTAGGAACCTAATTTTATCTTAAACATAAAGGAAAAATAACTGGTAATAACAATAGCAATAGCTAATATTCACATAGTGCTTTAAAGTTGCAAAGCCCTTTGCATGTACTTGGTGTCTCATTTGTATTAGAATTTATCAGTATTAGTCTTTTTCCTGTCCCTGATAATGAGAGCTGTTAATTTTAAGATGCCTAGAACTGGTAGCTAATTGAATATTTGGGTTTTTGTTTTATAATGGAGGAAAAGAGATTTGTGTATAGTTTGTGGAGATAGAATGGTTACACTTACTATCTGCGTGGCCTTTGGTAAGTATCATAACTTCATTGTGCCTCAGTTTCTTCATCTGAAAAATGAAGGCATTTGGATTACATGGGCTCTGTGGTGCCATCCACCTCTGCATCTACAATCCTACAGTTTCAAAAGAATTGTTCTATATAGCCTACCTTAATCTCTCCCACCAGTGTGGTCACATAAATCGAGGAAGTGAATTATTAAGGTTTAAATTAAGATAACTCACAGAATATGTAACTGTTTTAATTTATTAAATTTGTAATAAAGAAGTATAGCTCAGAAAAAGTCCAAATGGGAGGTAGTGTAATTTCTAACACAAGATGAAAATTTGCACATATAAAAGTGCAAAACTTTCCTCTGATTGTTTTTAAAAATTATTCTTTATGCTAATGTCTTAAAATGAATTTGGAACATCAGTGACTTGTGCATTTTAATAGGGTTAGAGAATATATGTTTTGAATGTTTTAGCTATTGACATTTTTTATACTGCCTTTTTGGTCTTTATTTGTTGTCTCTGTAATGATATCTGTGTAGCTGAAATCATCAATGTTTGCTTTTAGTAACTGATTGAGATTTCTCCTTTACTTTGTGGCTGATTTTATACTGACAAGTCTTGACCTTTGCAAAGTGTTCTGGTTATTGTCACTTGTTGCTTTCCCACTGTCTGGAATGACTTACTTTTGCTATTCACTGGTGGCCTTACCGTCATCCATTTGGTTTTCATAGAAGGTTCCTCACTCTAATTTCAGAGGTCTATTGCTAGCTGTAAAGCTGCTGGCGTTTTTTTTTTTTTTTTTTTTTGCTGTGGCATGTGTATGTTGGTTTTTACTAAAAAGTTTCTGATTCTTGCTATATATTTTCTAGCTATCTTTATGCCATCTAGGCTATAATCTGTATATACATACATTTTTCTCCTTTTTTTAAACCCCCAAATTATAACTTTTTATGCTAGGGGCTCTATTTCTGTTGAATTGTGAAAAAGTGAACATCTTAGCAACCATATCAGAAGTTTTGAATTTTTTTTCTTTTTTTAACCTTCCCTTTCAGATGAGCTGAAGATCTAGGAATGAGGAAAGAACATCTGTCAAGTTATGGCTACAAGATCAACCAGAAATAATTATTTTTCCAATAAAACTCAGAGGCCTCTTCCTTCTCCCTTATTTAGCCATGAAAATAAAGCCTCTTATCCTACAAAACCAGAATAAGCATTGAAAGGACATTGCCTTCATCCCCTAGTAGATTTCTTACATAATAATGAAGAAAGTCAGAATTCTCCTAAGAAATCTATATATTTTTTCTTCTGTCCAACTGATAGGTTATGGCAAGTCCAAAAGATCAAGAAGAACCTGAGAGATTGGTCTTACCTCTGACTTTTGTGAAGTGAGGAAAAAAGTCTACTTTTCATTATCTTTTAGTGATTATTTTTTTTAAGCCAGTATACTCTGTACTTTTATGGGGCCAAGAGCCTGACTCCTAGAAAACATGGTGAAGTCGTCTTCATCTCCACCAAACCCACTACTGCCAATAAATTTGGCTACAGCACTAGGAGACTGAGCTATTCCCTCCTTCTAGTGTCAGACATTTAAAAAAATGATCCAAACGATTGAACCTTTCATCCAGTTGTGAAGGATTTCCTTCTCAGTTCTTTCTACTTCAGTTGTTCTCACTGTGATTTTTAAAATGTTTTCTTGGAAATGGCTTGTTCTTCTTGAAGTGAATTGTATAAGTCTGTGAACTTAGCAGTTCTTTGAAGGTTTGATTGTTTAGTAACAAATTTCTTGACATATAATGAAGATGTTTTACAAAGGGTTTAATTCTTATTATACTTGATATCTTAGACCTTTCTTTCCAGATCTTCACTTGATGTCTTTATTTAGTGACATCTGAGTACATTCTCTTAGCAGCTTTCTTGAATGATCACTGTTCTTGGTTTTTTCCTCCATTCCTTAAATTCTTCCAAATTAGCAAACACAATGATACAGTAGAATGAATTACTTTTCCAAGAATCATGAAGGTCATCTGTCTTATTTTTATACTCTTCAAAGTCAAGTGTAATTATCTTTCCTGGTGAGATGAAGGTGCCCTTGAAATTGAACACTATTTGATAGTGATGTAGACTGAGATATATCTCGTTATGATGAAGGCTGAGGTAAAATAGGGAGGGTGTTCTTTTTATGCAGATTTTAACCCTTTGGCAGTATTAGTTTCTGAGCAACAATTACCTGAGTAGAGTTCTGCTTAGCCTTTTTCATTTTTGCACTATAGAAACATTTTAGTTATATGCCTGGTAGACTTCTCATTTCTAATAAAATCAAATCATTAGCAGGAGTTTGAATTTCTTTCTGAATATCCTAAGTTAGTGATTCTCAAAATGTGATGTGCTGGTCAACATTTATCCTTACTGGGTAAATCAAAGGCAAGTCCAAAATACAAGCTATGCAAAAAAAATTCAACTGATTATTATACTTCATATTCAATCCCATGTTTTAAAAAAGCTCAAAAAATCAGCACTTAGATTGTGACTTACAGTATTTTTATTGTTTGGTTATTGCAGTGGAAAGCTAGAGCAAGTAGGGATGGATGGTGCCTCAGATCATTTGTTGTGCCAGCACAGGTCATGAATCAGATAGTATAGTGTGATTACATCACATATTAGTTTTGTTGGCCATTTTTGAGCTTTATACGGTTCTTAGCAGCTTAGAATTATGTCTGATAACAGATCAAAAGGAATTGTTATGTAAAATGCTTTGTAAACTTTAAGGCACTATGTAAATGTTAAGTGCTAATTTTAAAAATTCTCCTATAGTTGAAGAATTAGTCCTCAATCTTTTCTAACATATTCTCTAATTTCAAACCTCTTCTAGTAACGTTATTCTCTCTGTGCCTTGTTTACTTCAAAATTAGCAGTATTAAAATACTACATGATCTCATTTTTCCTAAAGTTATAATTCATGAATGTTAATGTTTTTAACTAAATTCTGTTGGATATATATATATATATATATATAATATGTATACATATATATTTGCTAAGGATAGATAATAGAAATCACAAGTGTACAATTTCTGTTCACCTGATGATTTGTTGATGAAAATCGAGATTAATAACTTTCCCTTAAATATGAATGGATTCTCTATTATGTAGCTTTGTAATAAGTCAGTCCTGGGTGCAAGCCACATGATTATGTTTGAATAAAGGTTCATTTTTTCACATATAAGCTATGTTGCCAACATTTGCACAGGTTTAGAAATCAACTTCCTGTTTATATATGCCCTGTAGTTTTATGCCTTTTAAAAAACTGCTAACCACCATGGCCAACAAAAGAAATGACTTCCTGCACTTTGTTTTTGCAAATCTATTTAAGCTGTGCATCTTTGAATGTAATTTTTCTATTGGAACTTTGTAACAGCTTTGAAATCATTCAGTGTCTGTGAGCACATAGAATTGAACTTTATGGTTCACCCCTTTGAACCTTAGTTTGGCCCTCTTTAAAATGAAGGGGTTGGATTAGATGACCCCTAAAATCTGTCTTCCAGCTCTAATCCATGATCCTATGAATTATCTTTGTATTTTAGTTAAGAAGTGCATTGATGCTCCATGAATGTTTAATCTTGTGAGAGGGTTTACTAAGGTATTTTAACCACTAAATGTTTAATTATACTAGCTTATAATCAATTGAAATTTTCTTTTAAATAATGTTGTTACTGCCTGGGGGAATTTGATAAACTTTTTTCATATATAGCTAGTAAAAAGTTTGACTTGTATTTTCATTTAACAAATTAGCAATGAAATAAAGATTTTACGTTGTCTTCCATATTTTGAGTACTGTTGAACTGTACTATAAATTGGATATTAGGTTATTCTGGATACATGTAGTTTAGGGCTTTCCAATGTGTATTTTTCCACAAACCACTTTCATCCTTCCCCTCCCCAACAAAAATGTGTTGTGAAACCCTAGGGTAACTTAAATTACTATTCATAATATTCTTTATAATGTGCTGCTTAAGGCTCCACTAAAGAATCTTTCACATGAACTCCTTGGACCACTGGCAAATTCCCAACTAGTTCCTAATTACTAAGTGGAAACCAAAAAATAGTGTATACCTTTTGATGCCATCACCCTAATTTTTGATACACACACACACACACACACACACACACGTATTTCAACACATTCACACTGTCTCATCTTGTGTCATGTTTGTACATTTCTTTTCTCTGTAAAACATATGCCCATGAGTCTGGACATCTCTCTCTAGGTTTTTGGGTACCACTGACACTCAACATGTAATCCTCATGAGTTTCCCTAGGAATTTCAGAGGTGTGTGTGTGTGTGTGTGTGTGTGTGTGTGTGTACAGACACACAAACACAGACACACATATAATTTGTATCACTTTGGACCTTAGTTTAGCCCTTTGTGAAATGAAGGGGTTGGATTACATGACCCCTAAAGTCTGTCTTCCAGCTCTAAGTCTGCGATCTTCCATGAATTATCTCTGTAATTTGGTTGACTTGCGTTAATGCACTGTGAATGTTTAATCTTGTGACAGAGGGATTACTAAGTTTTTTATTTTAACCATTAAATGTTTAGTTCTACTGGCTTATAGTCAATTGGAAGTTTTCTGTGAAAGAATGTTATTCACTTAATATATGTATGTATGTGTGTATATGTACTTATCTACATATATATTTCCCCATGGTTTCAAACTTTTTGAAAATTGTACATTTAACTGTAAAACAAGTAGGTTTGGGGACCTTTTCTCTATGCATCTTAACTATCTCATGATTCTTATTTAACAAAACTCATGGGTAGAAGGGATATATCCCTCTGTTTTCCCAACATAGCGGGTCTTTTTGAAGGCAGGAATGGGTTTGAATAGTAAGGAAAGGAAAATGAGAACTAATTTCCTAGGCCCTATTCTCATAGATACCAGGAATGTTACCTCCTGAATTTTCACCCAATTGTCATCTGGTAAAGCCTGGAATATAGGTGGTGAACACAACCTGGATATGTGATTGGGTAGATATTTTTGGTACATAGGTGAATAAAAATACATCAAGAGAGGTTCATTTATGCAAATAATAGAAGCTTTTTGAAAAAAAAAAAGGAATTCTATACATGTAAAGTACTGTAAGTACAGGGACCTGGACTAGTCCTGTGATTTCATGGATATAAAGAACTCCCAAGTGAGAACACTGTCTCCACAAATGCAGGTTGGTACTTTATCTGAAATTGTGGTCTTAAAAAGCAGCCTGGGGATTTTGAGAGGGTAAGTGACCTGTCCAGGGTCACACAACCAGTACATATCTTCTTCCTAGTGTCAAATTCTGGTCTGACCAGCAGTTTCTAACTGCCCCCCAAGAAAACCAACACATAGTCAAGCAGTTTCCCACCACCCCTGTTCTGGGAATACCTGGCAAAGCTAACCCCAGGACATTTCTGCAACCTTCTTTCTGTAGCTCTCCCCTCCTGCAGCTCAACTGTTCTGTGTATACAGACTATATGCCCTCCTGCTTTTTCCCAGAACTCTGCCTTATAAGAACTCCCTTCCTCCCCTTCCTCCCAGGGCATCCTTATCTGAATAAGGCATTGTGTTTTCCCCAAATTTCAATTCCTCAACCCTGATTAAATGCTAAACTTTATTTATTGATTACCTAGTTGGTCTGAGTTTTTCTAGGTTGAAATTAGCTCCAAAGCCCAACTCTATCCACTATGTCATGCTGCCATGAAAATGTATCTTCATTAATTCGGATAACTGCTTAAGAATTTGCTGTAATTCAATCAGGGACTAGACTGAAGTTTTTATTTGAACCATTAAAAAAATCTGTAGGTCAAATTACAGGCGTATAACTGGTTTAACTTACAGAGAATACTGTATTTTGTGTATAGAAGATGCTTATTTTCTGTGTATTTCACATTATTCCTATTTAAAAGTGTGAGTCCAGAAACTTTCAAATGCCAAATAGTCTTGCTTCTCTTATTAGTCTCCCTTATGTATACTTGGAAACAATGACTGCATTTATATACATATATGTATTTATATATATATAAATTTAATCTCTTTATTAATCAAACTTGTTCTCCCTGCCAAGGAGTTTCAATTGTTGAAATGCATTCACAGCAGTTTTATCTGTGGGAAAGGAAATTAAGCTTCATTTAATCAAAAATGACTTTTAAAATAAATTCACCGATAACAAAAACAAACCTTTCTATTAGCACTAAAACAGATTATTCAGGTTGAGAAATATAGTTTTGAGACCAGTTTGATTGACTGCCTCATGCGTTCGTTCTTTCAGAAGATCCAGAGAATGTTAATATGGAGAGTCATCATGGAGCCAACACAGAGCCACCTGGTAAGAGAAAAGACAAATTTGGAGAATTTGTTGAGTATTCTATAACGTTTTATTTTTTTTAAAGCTAACCATATGGAACATTATCTATATTTTGAGTCTCCTGATAAGAAAACAGTTTCTTTGCATATCTTTCTACTCTCTCTTTCTCTCTCTCTCTGTTTCTCTCTCTCTCTATGTTTCTCTCTCTCTCTCTTTTACCATTCGTATGCTTTTGTGTTATTTAAAGTAATCCTAATATATCTCATGCCATTACTAGATTGTAAACTCCTTGAAGTTAGGGGCTATCATTTTTCATCTTTGACCTTTGAAACTAGCGCATTACTTTGAGGGGAAGAATCATGGGATTTTAGAGAAGTAAAGGAATCTTAGAAGCCTTATAGTACCATCATTTCTTTTTACAGATGAGAAACATAAGGCTGAGCAAAGTAATTCACTCAAGGTCACACAAGTGGCAACAGAACTGAGATTTGAAGCAGTTCCTTTGATGCCCAAGTGATTGCTTTTTCTTGAAACTGCCAGTTCATGTCAATGACATTTATTCAATTCAGGTCCTATGTGTAATTTAATTAAAAAATAATCCTGGAAAAGATTATTTACCAAATGGACTGCTCCTCTAAATGAATCCTATTTGCCATTTTCTTATGAAGATTATCCATTAATCAAACAATAAACAATTGATAATCATTACTAAGTGCCTCCTGTATGACGGGCTAGGTGTTGGGGATACAAGTGCAAAGAATGAAACAATCTCTGATTGAAAGGAGTTGATATTTTTTAATTTAATTTAATTTAATTTTTAATTTATGAAATAAAATGAGTATTTCCATAACATAGTAGAATAAAAAAAGATGATTGCACATGAAACTGCAAATCTATAATGTACAACTTGCTATTCCTTTTAAATATGTAATAATGTTATCATGTAAATTTCTTTCTTTCCTTTTTCCCTCCTACTCTAGAGATGGCTACAATTAGACACAAATATGTGTGTGTGTGTGTATAAAATCATTCTTTGTATACTTCTATTTATCAGTTCTTTCTCTAGATGCTGATAATGTCTTCCTTTCCTAGGTCCTTTGTTGTTAATTTGGGTATTTAAAATAGTTAAAATGACTTAGTCACTCAAAGTTGTTCTTAAAACAACGTTGTTGTTATAGTATATAGTTTTCTTGGTTCTACTCATCTCTTTCTTTATTTTTTCATGCAAGTCTTTTTCCATGTTTTTCTGAGATCATCGAGCTCATCATTTCTTATAACACAGTAGTATTCCATTACAATTGTAGACCACAACTTGTTCAGCCATTCTCCAAATGGTGGGCATCCCCACAGTTTCCAACTCTTTGCCACCACAAAGAGAGCTGCAATAAATATTTCAGAACATATAGGTTCTATTCTTTTTTCCCTAATCATCTTGGAAATAGACCTACTAGTGGTATTGCTGGGTCAACAGGTATAGGCATTTTAATAACTCTTTGGGTGTAATTCCAGATTTCTCTTCAAAATAGTTAGATCAGCTCACAGATCCACCAACAGTGAATTAAAGTCCCAATTTTTCCACATCCCCTCCAACATTTGTTGCTTTCCCCTTCAAACATTTTAACCAATGATAGCTGTGAAATAGTATTTCAATGTTGTTTTAATTTTCATTTCTCTAATCAATAATGACCAATTCTTTCAAAGAGACTTCTTAGCACCTACGTAAGGTTCTGGGATGAGTGAAGTACAGGAGCCCCTGAGACATAAGTTGATTCAGATAGAAGGATTGATCACTTGGGCATTGGATGACTTAGATTTTTTGTAACATTTAGTGCAGAGCTCTAAATATGCTGATAATATATACTAGTTGCCATAGTAATAGTAGTAGCTATAGTAGCAGTTGTAGTAGACATAGAAGGAGGAGGAGTAGAAGCAGGAGTTGTAGTAGTAATAATGATTTAGCATTTATATAGCACCTACTATGTGCCAGGTATTATGCTAATTACCTTACACATCTCATTTCATTTGATCCTCACCACAATCCTGAAAAGTCGGTGCTATTATTAACTCCATTTTACAGTTAAGGAGACTGGAGAAAACAGAGGTTAAATGACTTGTCCAAGGTCACACAGCTAGTAAGTGTCTCTGGCAGGACTTGAACTTAGATGCTCCTGATTCCAGGCCCAAGGCTCTATCTACTTCTCTACTTAGCTACCATTTGATTTCATGTTTAAGTAAGAGACAAATGTAGATTACTTTAGAAGAATGCTGTAGTTTCAGTGGATTTTTGACAAAATGAAACACTAAGCTGTCACCATCTACCTTAAACTTCTTAGTATAATTGTGCATGAAAATTTATTTTCATGTTTAATTTTTTTCTTTCGTTAAAAATATGGAGAGACCACTTAAGTATTCATGCTACTTTTCTCTGACAAAAGCATTCTATAATAAAAAAAATAACTGTGCCCTTAGCATATATATTT